TCTGGAACAAACCTATCTTTACTGCCAATGTGACAAATTATCAGTTTTTTCTTTTCCTGAAAATTTGGATATTTTAAAATTTAACTATTATTATTTAAATTAATTTATAATGTAAACCAATACTCTATAATTTGAATATGATTAGACTGAGCAGTTTGGACCTGTAAAATGACAATAATTCTCGCTCAAGGCGATAAATTATATTTAGCAGTCTCTTGGCAAATAAGAAGGACAATATTGTTGGAACACGCACGTGTCAGGTTTTGATAATTTGTTTGTGTTGGGAATTTGCAATATGATTAGAATTTACTCTGTGGTATAACGGGTGATGTCAGGAACAATTCTCCAGTCGCTACAACAGCAATGTTCTAGTTGTTATTTATTTATGACTTTGAAGAGGTAAAATATGTACTTTTTAATTTAGATTGTTAAGAAACCTAAAATAGGTTACTTAAAATTTTAGCCAGATTTAAATTTTAGCCATAGAATAATAAAAGTATATTGGATAAGTTTTGAAACTGCTTTCTTGTGATATGTCCAATTTAAATATTATGTTTATGGGATTAAGCCACAATTAATAATTGTAATAAAAATTACATTTTTAACTGACTTATGTTTGATATTTCGACTTTCACTCCGGAAATTGTTCTCAAAAAAAATATTTTAAAAATTCTGATAAAATATGTAAGTTGTTGTTATTTAAGTAGGTAGGTTGTAAGTAGGTTATGATTTACTAACAAAAACAACTTGTTGGTCTACTAACAACAGAAAATCTTATTGTTTCCAAATGAAAATTTTCGTCCCAGATGTTAACAATTTATTGACTGTCAATACTCTAGCGTTTTGAGTAACTATGGAAAATTATATCCTATATTTTAGAACCAAAGAATAAATTTTCGGAAACTCTCTTTTAATTCTCTCTGAAGTATTTTAACTTGGTCTTGGTCATACTTTTCTTCTTAAATAATGATACTTCCAAGGTTTTTTATTAGTTTTTGTTCATATTCATTCATTCATTCATCAATCAGCCCTGAGTTGTCCATTGTTGAACATAGGCCTCCTCTAGACTTTTCTATCTGCTTCTGTTCTGCGCTTCTGCTATCCAATTGGTCACGATTCTTTTGAGGTCGTCGGTCCATCGCGGTGGGGGTCTTCCTCGGCTTCGCTTGTCAGCCCGTGGTCTCCACTCAAGCAATTTTTTTGTCCAACTGTTGTCTTTCATTCTTACAACATGTCCTGCACATCTCTATTTTTGCCTTGTAATATGTTCGATAATGTCTTCCACTCCGGTTCGTCTACGAACTTCCTCGTTTCTTATTCTATTTCTTAAGCTTATTCCAAGCATTGATCTCTCAGGATGGTAGAACGCACTGGTTAAAAGCTTTTCTTTTTAAATGGATCGGTATATTTGTTTTAAATACGTCTCTTATTTTTCCGAATGCAGCCCAACCCAGACTTATTCTTCTGAGTAGCTCGCATGTTTGGTTATCTCGCGTTAACCTTATTTCGTGACCCAAATACACATATTTTTCCACAAGTTCTATGGGCGTCTTTTCGATTTCTATTAGCTCATTGGGGACGGGATTGGTCATCATTTTTGTTTTTCCATAGTTTATTTTTAAACCGACTTTTTGGGGTAACTTGCTGTAGTTGTTGTAGGCTTCTCTGGCTTCTCCTAAGTTGTCTGTTATGAGAACAATATCATCGGCATATCTGAGATGATTGAATATCTTTCATTAATATAATCTAGTCTTTTAAATGTGTACTCCATAACTGTTATAAATAGTTTTTTCGACAACGTTTCTCCCTGTCGCACCCCTCTGACAATTTTTATCTTCTCAGTCATGCAATGGAGGTTAACGGTTGTTGTCACATTTTCGTATATATTTCGAATAATATTTGCATAGGTACCTGTGATATATTCTGCATTCTGATAGTGCTTTTAAGATAGCAACTGTTTCGACTGTGTCAAATTCTTTGTGGAAGTCGACAAAGATAAGAGCAAGGGGTCTGTTATATTCGATATAACGATTCGGGTCTTCCTTTTCAACTAAAGTTTTAAGGCATTGCAAATGATCGTTTTGTTCCGTGTCCCGCTCGAAATCCTGCCTGCTCTTCTGATTGATAGAAATCAAGTTTTGCTTCTAATCTGTTTTGTCAGTATTCGAGTAAGGAGCTTGTATAGGTGGTTAAGCAAACTAATTCGCCTATAGTTTTCGAGATCTGATTTATCCCCTTTTTTGTGGAGGAGGATTGTAACCGAATTCTTCCATTTACTTGGAATGTTTTCACTATGCAGACATAGATTAGAAAGTGTTTGGATTCGGGACATCAAAAATGGACCTCCTAGCTTAATTGTCTCAATGACTACACCGTCATATTTTTGAGGGCATGTTGAATTTCCTCTCTTGTTTTGCTCATATTATATACTATAATATACTATATTATAGCATATAATATTAAAGATAAGTAGTTAGTTTATTAAAACGAATGCAGACTATAGTTTCAGAATTTCTAAATCTGTTGTATGGCCTGTTTGTATATGTTTATAGATTCTGTTTTTAATTTTTCGATTGATGTGACCTATGTAAGATCGAAAAATGCCGTTAGTCACTCGAGTTTCCTCCATTAGATTTTTCTATTTGATTTAAGTACTGTTCACTTCATCTTTATACAATTTTTAGTATACTTATAACGTATACATCTATTAATTTTAGAAGTCTACTGTATATTTACAGTATTACTTTGAAGCTAGGTACGTACTAGCCGCAATGGTTAAGAATCAGAAAATTTTACAGGGATGACAGTCTCTGTATGAAAATACCTTAAGCTACCTTAAGGTATGATGACAGTACCTTAAGCAAACGAAAAGGTACCCAAAGGCAGCCAAAAAATTATTCTTAAAAAGATTAGTTACTAAAAATGTATGCCAAATGTCTTTTTTTACCGAACTGTACTAATATGGAGACACTTTTTATATTTATATTGTATAAACATAATAATAATAGCCTCTCTTTATACTGCTAGCATGGCTTTGGAATTATAGCAGGGTAGTCTGCTATATCTTGGGCCTACTGTATATAAGATGGGTAACAGGATCAGTCCTATACTTCAACCGCCTATTATACCCCTGGTTCTGCCCAAGGTACTTACTTTATTCGGGCTATGTCGACCTGCGGCCTCTAGATATTTAAAAATATCTAGATGTTTTTGACGGGGCTGGGATTCGATCCCCGGCCTTCTGGGTGGAAGTCAAAGGCTCTACCGCCTGAGCTATTGGCCCATTTATATAAAATAATACAGAGTAGACCAAAAGTCTGGAAACACCCAATTATCTCTTAAATGGATGGTACAAAAACTAGGATAAGTCTATTCTGCATTAAGATTTTAAATTTGATACTTGCAATGTTGACAGATTTACCATCTTTCTGATATCGTTAGTCACTTTTTTCACTGGTTCACACTGGTTTTTTAAATACAACATTCTGTATATTGTGATATTATTGTAATCCTCACGTCAATACGATAGCATAATATGTAACACATGGTATTTGATCAAGTCATGAAGGTCTTAATAAATAAAACTTCGCAGTACCAAATAGTTTTGAATTCAATAAATATAGAATGCTGCGATTTTGAAATTATTTCATAAAACCAACAATAGCTTGACCTTTATTGAAACATTTTGTAAAATACATTGAATTAATAATTAAAGCTGTTGTTTTGTGTGTTTCTAAAAGCTCTACAATAAAGATGGTTTTGAGTAAAAAAAGAGCGAATTACTGCTTTATTACGGCGATAAGAAAAGATCTTTTAGGGAAGCAGTCAACTTGTTCAACGATAGATAATTTCTTGATCCATAGTTTCGTTGAAGATTGACATACATCCTTACGTAGAGCTGCACAAATACATGATGTGGGTCATTCTTCACTATTGCATGTATTACATAAGAATTCATTTAAATTCTACAAAATCCAGTTGTTCTAAGAACTAAATAAAGATGTCTAGGACCATAGACCAGTTTAGTGAGATAATGATGAATAAATTGTGACTTATGAGTGAGATGAATCCACACTGGCTACGTCAAAATCATAATATGCAAAAACGACGAAAACTATATGGTCGGGTGTAGATTGTACTCACTCAATTGGGCCGTTTTTGTAAAAGGAAATTTAACAAGCGATAATTATGACTTAGAAATGAAATTGTACCTGCAATGAAAAACAAGTTTAGAACCAATTCTAATGAGATATGGTTTCAGTAAGACGGAACATCAGCTCATTTTGGTGTAAATGTTCTGCGTTATTTAGATCAGACATTTCCCAGACGATTTATTGGTAGATTAGGTAGTATTGAATGGCCTCCTCGTTCACCCTATTTAAATCCTAACGATTATTTTTATTGTGGATACTTGAAAAGTAGAATTTAAAAAACTAAACCAGCAAGTACAATCGTTTATGATACTGTCAAATTAACAACGGAGGATGTTTAGAACACTTGATTAGGACGACATTATTTAGCAATGTAGTAAAGTTTTAATTATTTATTTAAAATTAGTTGTTCATAATCTGAATCAAAAAATGTATTGGACAATTGGGCGTTTCTAGGCTTTTGTTGTAAGATGTTCCTGACTTCATAAAATCAAAAGTATTGTGGACGGTACCGTTGAACCGGTATTAAAGTGGAGATTTCAATAAAGGTGCAATAGACAGGGTGTTCTATTCAAAAAACCCAAGTGACTAAATGCTGGCAACATGGCAAGTATCAAATTTGAAATCTTCATATTGCAGAATGGGCTTATTCTGGTTTCTATACAATTCGGACCATCTATTTAAGAGATAATTAGGCGTTTCCAAACTTTTGGTCCACTCTGTATACACAATAAAACATCACGTTAGTTTTTTACTAAAGATATACATATGTAACTAGAAATTCAATTGTAGTAGTTATTAATAATGCTAAAAATATTTAAAAAATTGTTAAATAAATTTTACTTTTAGGAGGCCAGTAGAAAAGAAGAGCACATAATTACCGCTTTGGTTGATTTTGCGGTTCTCCTGATGACTAGTTTGGAGCAAATTAATCGAGATGCATTCCAAAGATTTAAATTAAGAGTTGGTAAGTTACTTTTTTAGTGTTCTTTCGAAATGGTTGCCAAAAATTAAGAGAAAACCAAAAAAAATACTCAAAAATATTATTTATGAAAAAATTTGAATTCATTTAATGGTTTCTGATAAACAATATTTTTGTTTTTATGCGTTGGAGAAAATTTTGGTCAAATTCAAAGTAATTCAGTTTTTTTATTTTTGCCCTATTTTGATCATTTTTTAGCATGCTGTGTAAAAATTTATAAATTTTAATTTAGTATGGTGAGTTTTTAAAAAAAAATTGCATTTGACTTATTATACGGGGTTAATCGAAGGTGGTTTTTTATCCTAACTTTGAAACATCCTGTGGAATAACTCTGTTAGCGGATTTTCGTAAAACCTTGTTTTTCGGTTGTAACCATGTCTTCTAAGTATTATGTTTTTTGGTTAATCTGAAAATATGGATTGGTTCATTATTAGTAGGAAAATGACTTTGCCACCCACAATTTACGACTTTTCCTATTATTACCATTATATTTTGTATTAATTTGTAATACGACGATGGAGGCTTTGGTGACTTATATTGAAGGAATGTTATATCGCCATCTTAAAAGCACTTTATATAATATTGATTAAAAACAACGACATGATCTTAGTTTTAATGAACAATGCTAACAATAACAACACATAAAAAACAACTTAAATGTAACTTAACCTAAGTACGCAAGTATTGCCTCCCCTACCCTCTACAACTGCCTGTACACGTCGGCTCATGCTATCTATAAGGTTGCGAATATCATCTTTCTGGATGTTTTGCCATTCCTTTTCTAGAGCCAAGCGAAGTTCGTTAATTGAGGCTGCTGCGACTTCGTGACGTCTAATATTTCTACCCAAACGTGCTCTATTGGGTTCAGATCTGGCGAATACGCTGGCCAATTCATTTTATTAATACCAACTTCCTCTAAATATTGCGTGACACATATTGCAGAGTGGGGTCGCGCATTATCTTACATTAATAGAAAATCATGTCCGATATATTGAGAAAAAGTTACTACGTGATTCGTTAAAATTTCCACAATATACCGGTGTGCAGTCAGCGAATCCTTAATAAATACCATCATCGAACCTCCTCCATGGCTAACGCGGGGACTGAAAGCGCACTCCGCAAGTCTCTTTTCAGTTCGACACCATACTCGTTCTCTCCCATCTGATGAGTGAAGGCAGTATCTCGACTCATCCGCAAAAAGAACATTACTCCATTGTCCTAAATTCCAATGTAAATGTTGCCTGGAAAATTGTAGTCTAGCCACTCTGTGCCGTGGAAATAATTTGGGCCCAGTTGCTGGTCTGCAACTTTGCAACCAAACACGTAGAATAAGCTCCTCTTTCGAGTCTGTGAAGTAACAGAAATATGTGGGTAATGTTATCAATCCGGTCGAGAGTCGATAGCAACTTTACCATTTTCAATGTCTAACAACTACTTTGAATTATACAATTAAACTTTGATCTTGGAAAAACACTCGCATCTTAGTTGTCAATTGGAGCGTTTTTTAAACAATTGGATAATTGTAGGCATGCGTTAAGGTCGTCCGCAGTAATTGATATAAAAATTGATTGTCATTTCATTTCAGGTCCATGAGTGTTTTCCTCGCTTGTTCGATTCTTGATAGAATTTCTTTCATTTATAAGTTACGCTTTTTACCATTATTAAGGTTTTTATATGACTTATAAGCTTATTACTCCTAAATTTGTTTTAAATGCTTCACTTTGGCTGATAGACGAAAACAGTGAAAATTTACCGTTTTTTTGCCTTAATTTGTTAATAACTAATTAAGTCCAAAAAATTGGCTGCATGAAACATATAGGTTCTTGTTACAAAGGTTGTCTTGTTACACATCACTTAAAACAACTGTCGTTTATCTGGTCAGTTCAGTATCACAAATAGAGTACTTTTTGCTTATTTCCCATGCAGCTCCCTTAACACGTGGAGGGAAGATATGTGTTTTATTAATTTAGTTGTCCTCTTTCCTTCAAGTTTGTTACTATACTATCGCTAAAACTTATTTTTATGTACTTTTTTATTAAGTATCTGTTTTTTTTTAGGTCTAAATCACGGACCTGTAATAGCAGGGGTCGTTGGTGCTCAAAAACCACAATACGATATTTGGGGAAACACCGTAAACGTAGCTTCCAGAATGGACTCATGTGGGCTTTTAGGTAAATTTTTATTTCAATTTTAATATAATTAATTCTAAAAGCTTCAAAATATACCTTTATTTGACAATTAAAATATTATATAAACTAAAATTTCATTTTATTGCATTGGTCATAATATTCTTATGAGTTATTATTAAAAAAACATTTTTTTCTTGAATAATTATATTCAATTATAAAAATTTAATTATACTTCTTTTTTGGTTAAAATTTATACGTTTTAAGTTTTCGCAATAGGTTGCTCTAGGTGATTTTATAGCATTACTTCTGTGGGTTTATTTGGTATATTCTTCTTCTCTCTTGGTGCTACAACTCTAGGTGAGTCTTGACCATGTTTACTATTTTCCTCTACTCTTGCTGGTCTCGTGCAGCAATCTCCCATTGTTGTACCCCATCTTACGTAGATCACTCGTTATTGCATCTTTCTCGTCCTTTCTCATATTTCTCATCTTTCTTTCGAGGCCTGAATATACTGAAAAAAAATGTTTTATTTAGTCGAAAAATACCTATTTATTTATCCAACCGTGTTTTGAACATCTATATATTGATCCAATTGGGCTTCCTCTCATTAATTGTGGATTCATACGTATTCGACGGTATATGAATATAGGAGGGACAAATGTAACATTTTTCCCTCTTTCTCAAGATACTCCGGATCCCACTTGTTTTTGACCTTTTGGTGCCAAAATTTTTGATGGTTTCTGACCTGTAGAAATGCCCGTTTTATCTACATTAAAAATTCGACTCTCAGGAAATTTAAACTTTCCCATAACTCTGAGCGACAAATGGGAGTGCGACAATGGGAATTACTGGCACAGGACCGACAAACATCGAAGGCAATAGTAAACGCGGCAAAGACTCACGAAGAGTTGTAGCGTCATCGATGATGATGATAACTGTGAGCAGATTGTTAACAAATCCTTCAACCTTATCTTTATTAAATGTAGTAATACGGTTTTGACTGGTACCTTCAGGTTTTCGAACATATGTCTTAATGATGCTTTTAAAAAAAGTTATAACCAATCTTGTCCAGCGATTTTCTGTATCGATTCGAAACGGTGTTTTTCTTTTATTCGTTTTAGCAAACTGGTATGCTCAACGCCTTAGTTCTGTTGCTGTGATTTCAAAAAACATATTGCCAATTTTTTAACATGATTAGCTATATTCGATTCCTGTTCATTATTAAAAATTAGTTTAAAACATGTGGTCGGCTAGCAAATATGACACTGCGCTCTGTGTTGAATGTTAAAATAAATGTACCGTGTTGCCAAGATACTGATGCACAGAATTTCCCTGGTCTCCCCTATGCCTGAAATTTCTGCATACTATTTTGTTCCACTTTTATCTAATGGGAATCGAACCTTTATCTATTCAAGTTTTGTGATGAATTATTCCAATATTATGTTTCAGGCAAAATCCAGACTACAGACGTCACAGCAGAAGTTCTAATGAACGCCGGCTACCAATGTGAATGTAGAGGGCCGACATATGTCAAAGGAAAAGGTACTTTGACGACCTACTTCGTGAAAACCCCTTTCGATGATAAGAATCATTGAATATAATATGTGATAATGTAGCTTAGAGTAATTGAACAAGCTAATAACTGTAGCACTCATAAAGTATGTACTACTTATTCAAATCTCAATAATTGTAATTCTAATGCTCTAAAAGTACCATTTAGTTAAAAAAATTATTTATATATCTAGAAGCATCCAAATACTCAATTTCGTTTTAAGTTATTTATTTTAAAAGCCAATGTCGAGCTCTTTCTTTTAAGTAGAACCTGTATTAAGGCTGATACAAAAATTAGCAATATAATTCTAACATCTAAGATATATTTTTAGATAGGTTATTGAATAATGTCGTATAAAATCTTTCGATAAATATTTTGCATTGGATCGCATATTCTGCATTTTATTTATTTGTTATATATTTTGTACATAGAACAAGTGGCGCATTTGCTTGTAACTATTACTGCAATGCTTGGCATACTGACTTGTCATGAACGAATAACAATCGGCAATTGATTGTCCACACAAACATATTGAGAAACCCTAACCTTTTAGGTACTGCACTATCTTATGTTCTGCATAAGTACCTACCTCTCTTTGGCAAACAATGGGATTGCACTGAGGTTGCCGTCTTTTGTATTCATGCCAGGCCCCGAACGGTATTACAAAATGGCGAATTCAGATGATTGGGACCAAAGTTTAAAACCCTGACATATTTCTTAAGATAAAACAATTACTTCTGAGTCCACTTTTGAGATTGTTTTCCTTTTGTCTCCATATCTTTCTGGGACATAGTTAGGCAACACAAGTCAACCTAATAAACCTGCACCATGAAGTCTTGGTGCAGCTGTCTGGTAATTTTCCGATTTATCATGGTTTCGGTGTTTATATGTGTATGTTTATTTTATGTTTGTGCATGTATTTATATATAAGTGAGTATGCGTGTGTGTGTGTGTGTGTGTGAGAGAGAGAGTGTGTGTATTTCATGTAATCAACAAATCTACAATTAATGGCATAGCTGCAACCCCTATGTTTCGCAGGTATTTATTTGCTTATACGTTATTAACACCTGTCTTTTGTCCTACATATCAATATAACTTACCCCAATTAATCATTTTTATCTTTTCAACTTTTCCACCGGTCTGTCCTATGCAGGGTACCTCTACTCAGTTCAGAGCTTCCTCGTCTCCTTTACTGAGTCCCATACACAAGTGTACTACAGGCTACCGGTTAATTAAAATTTAAAGTCACATCTCTCTTACTCTCTGGTATCGTCTCTCCTAATGGAGAACTGGATGCTTTTTGAGGTTTTTAGACAATAATGGAAGATATAATGCGTAGAAAGCATAAGTCAGGTCAGTCAGACAGGTATGCGTTATGTTACCGATGTTGTTAATGCCTATACTGACCCAGTTTTTAAGATAGCGTTAAATAACGGTCGTGAAGGTGTTAAAATCAATGGTGAATTTATTTATAACAATATATACGCAGAGGACACTGCTTATAATGATAGAGACTCTAGACGACCTTCAAACCTTGTTGAATGCTGTAAACAACGAATCCACTGAAAAGGGCTTAACAATCAATGCAAAAAATACCAAATAAATGGTCGGAAAAATTAATATCAAAAACTCAGTACTAAAATTAGAGAACAAAATTCTACAAAGGATAGAACATTTTAGATGTCCAGGTAGTTGGATTGACTGCAGGGTTGAAAGTGATGAGGAAATTTTTTCACCAAAATAGAACTTGCACGAAAAACGTATAATTAGCGTTCTGTATTGTACAGCAAAAGTATATCATTGACCACATTCCTAAGAGTATTGAAGTGCTACGTCTGATTCGCTTTGTTCTATGGATATGAAACCTAGACAAAAAAAAATAAAACATCTTAATAAATCAGAAGCGTTCGAATTTTGGTGTTACCGTCGCATGCTCAGAATCCCGTAGACACCACACATATCTAACGAACGTGTGCTAGAGACCATGCACAAAGAGCGAAAGAAAATTGATCAACATCATCAAAATGAGAAAGGACCAATACTGCGGTCATGAGAGTAATGGGAGAACCTAAATATCATTTACTCATACACTGCTATCGCATTGACGGCTGCCGTGATCGTTGTCGTCCTTTCAAGGCAAACGGTACCAAATCAAAGTGCGCACACACATCGATTTGTCTGCCGACCAGAGGATTGTCATGTAGTGTGCGTTCAAAGCATCATCGACAAAAGTTGGATCGAACTTTTATCGACCGTCCAAATTCGATGTTTGTGCGCCTAACCTTATTCGTCCTATTAAGAATGAGTGGCAGTGCATCGTGATGAAATGTCTGAGAACTACATTAAAGCTAAAAGAATGAACGGTTATTGTTTCAACATTTCGTACAGTGTATCTTCTACAATCAACTGGCAAGATAGGCTAACGTAAAAGTATGTTCATCCATTTCTGATTTGCACCGACAGATTTTTGTAGAATAATCGAACCTGAGTATCATCGGAACGCTGCATGACAAGTGTGTCCAATTCAACATCTATCTTTATAGAATCTGTGTATATAATACACCGCTCCCTATAATACATTGTAGTTTTTGTTAAACATTACAGTATTTTGTATATTAAAAAATTTACATTACATAAGACATTTGCTTTTGCAATTGGTAACAATTGCAAAATTGTATTCGCTCCGTGCGTAACCATGGTAGGGGTACCTTGAAACGATGCCAGCGTGCGTAGCGGAGAAATATGACATAATTGGACCTATCTTTTTATGCATACATTTTGGGTGCAAATACTTTATTTGACAGTACTAGATTTTTTCCTTTCTTTTCCTTTTGGGGTTGAAAAGATAAATTATGATGAATTTTTGAGAAACCCAGTTATTAATACTACATTTATTTTGTACATAAACTAAAAAAAATATTTAACTAAAAAACCAATTATTAATAATTGTCAATTTCGTATATACCTATTTAACATATGTAACCTCAAATTGGGAGGTCCAAAATTATCAGATGAAGACGGTAGGTGTTGCGTCAGTCACGCACGGAGCGAATAGTAAATTGTACTTTGTTAAAAGCCAAATACTTTCCTTATAGCAGAAAGTCGCAAATAAATCCCAACAGTCAGCTTTTGTTCTTATGACAAAATATCGGTTTAAATGCATTTTTATATTAAATTCGATTAAATGTCTAAATTTAAAAATCATAATTTCTTTCTCAAAAATAAAATTATTGAGATTTTATTAAATTTGCTCTACTTACATGAGCCGTATTTATTTTTATTGTGATGATAGAAAAACAATATCTTCGGAACCTTTAAATCTTTATTTTTGGATATTACTGATAGTAAAACAGCAGCTAATTATGTGGAATGTATCAATTTAGGTAGACTAGATACATTATTTTATATTTTATCGTGTGATGTAAGTCTAAAGATATTTGATACACTAACCAATTTGTTTATAGTTATAATACTTTATAAATCACATTGACAATATTTACATTCAAAATAATATTGTTTTTATCGTTTTATTAAAAAGATGAAAATTTGAGTTTTCCCGATTTCAATTAAAATGACTAACGGTCAATAGTTTGTTTTTCTGTACCACAAGCTAATAGTATTTATCATAATCTATATATTTTTAATAAATCAGTATGGCTTATCTTATTAATGGATCGCTTAGTTTGCTTTGGCTCTACATAAGAAACATTGAAAAAATATGGATTACTGTTAGAATTTTCAAATACATTGTTTACAAGATTGAAAGTGCCTTCTCTAATAGTGAAGCCACTAATTATCAATTATTATTAGAGATAGCATTTATTTTCCTTAGACAACATTATAATTGTAATTAATATCAATTTTATCATTAAAATTAACATTTGTAATGTGAATGGGAAATAAAGTAAGAAACAGTCTATTTCAATTTAAATATATTTTGGTGAGATCTGTTGATGTTGTGATTAACAAATGAGCACTGAGAATGAAAAAAATACAAAATAACAGTCGAACAAGTGGTAAAATAAGAAAAAATACAAGTCATTGACATAACCACATTGTTATTGTTTCTTTTATATTAGGTTGAGTTACCAGATATGCCCTCCTTCAAACCATCCTGCAAGGAAAAATATGTGGAAAACGAGGTCCAGGAAGAAGAACATCTTGGTTAAAGAACCTAAGAATCTGGTTTAATACAACATATGTGCAGCTTTTTCGCGCTGCTGCAGATAAGATAAAGATTGTCATGATGATCACCAACATTCATAACGGATAGGCACATCAAGAAGAAGAAGAAGAAGTTACCCGCCCATCTGTCACTTGTTAGTTTAAAGATGCGTTAACATATATTATTTTAGCTACATACTCCTCCTTTGATTAACAAATTCGACCTGAGTGGGATACAATAAAACAAGTTAGAAGGACATACTTGTCCAAAAAGTGTCGTTTAAAGCAGGTTTAGACAGAGCAAAGAACGACGCTCTTCCGAAGCTGGTATACAAGATCCACTATTGTTAGTCTTCGGAACATCTAGATTCGAAATGGGCGTTGTAGTAATCTGGCGGATTGAATCTGCAATTGATACTGAATTTAGACCCTCAACTGCAGATGGAATTTATCTGGGAGGTCCGCGATGTCGAATGAGATGCTCATCAGGATCGGTGGTAATATATCTGGTTAAGGAGACCTTATAAATTCCTAAAGGATCCGATAGAGCATCTAGATTCATCTCTGTGGCGTTTAAACTTTGAAGTTATACCCATTTTAGTTTTGTTTAATATATGAGTCTTCACTAATACCAAATCTGATCCTTGGAATGTTTGATCACGACGTTTACTATCAGCATATTATTTTGTTCCTAACATATTGTTTGCTTTCGTGAGTTTCTCTGGCTTGACTTAGGTATAAGTAATTAAACGTAAGTAAAGCATAATCTGACCTATCTGACCAAATCCTAAAGCTTGAGCTAAATATTGGATGACATTAATGTCAAACTGTACTCCATTATCGCTGATAACTTTTCTGGAGTTCCAAACTGTAACACAA